CAAGTATTGTAAATCTGCCAGACAATAGTTCTGCTTTTAGAGGATTTCTCATYGGTGAAAAATCACTTGCAAAATACAATTTTCTCTGCATCTGAAGTGTAAACAAAGATAAATGACGTTTCTCACASAAAAGAAGCACCATATCTACTAGGCTGCTAGGGTATCAACATTCTCGTAACCAGATCCTTCTCAGTTTACAAACGGAAAAATTCACCCTCCCACTCCTCCCACTACCATAATACTAGTCTTACCATATAGTTGTGGTAGAGTTCCACTGCACCATCGACTTCAAACTTCCTCGCTCTGAGGAACTTAACAACAAACGCAGTGCTAATTGGACTGAGTTTAGACAATTCTCGATGTTTGTTCATCTCCATCATGGCTGCTTTTATCTTTTGTGTCTATATTGAATAAAGAGGTCTTTAAGTGCTTTGTAAAAAAGAATGGTTATGACTTAATTACTTTATAGCATGTTACCTCGATCTCGTAATCTACTTTAAACTTTCCYCGCATTCTSTTGTTGGTGTCATGAYTTGACTGTTGGAGTATCTCATCCGATGACGAAATGGTSAGACRGCAGTCCTGATTCTGCTGCTYATGGTTCGTTAAGGCATATTCAYCGGGGCTTTTCGTGTGGCCCTATTAAACACATTTATTAAATGGTAGTACATATGTCCTTCATGGTGGACGGACGAGTCAAGCTCGAGATGGCTTACCTTACTTAGCTTTACAGCTCCACTAAAAGGTAACCCTGGCAATGCGCTTATCATTCTCGCGAACAATTGATTTGAACTCTCTTTGGCGCCTGATGATTAAAACAAGAGCAATAGTGTTGTTGTATTGAAAAAACAACCTAAAGTTTCCCAAACAATGCTTAACATTCTGGTTTCCTTTTGAGTTGCCTACCATCCAAGAGTACCTTTATTTTGATCAATTTAAAAAATTATATTTCAACTTGAATTATCACACGTTAAGCTATTATATTGTAATATATCCTGTATTCTTGTGTGGTCGAAATGAATAATAAATGATGATGATGATGAAACAATAATGGTACCCGTCTATACACACTGACTGYACTCAAATGAGGCAAGTGGGGTCCAACACGGTAAAAGATGATATTTTATACTAGTGTTAATACTCACCATTTTGATTGCCGGAATTTCCACGGGCACCTTTACGGTTAGTGCAAGACGGGAGCTTGGGCAATTCCTTGTCGATCACCACGCTTGCACTGAGTGGAAGCTCCTCTGTCTTAACAAACTCCATAATCAATTCATCTTTCCTCGAT